AATATACAAATAACTGTTATAAATGTCTTATAAACATATAAAACATCCTTAAACATTTTACTTACGTTTTAGCTTTTAAACATTTTTATTGGTGTGTTATGTGTGCATACCTGATTGTCTGTATGTGCACCAAGTTCATCCAAGTGCTCAAGGAGACTGGAAGAGTGCTAACGCCAGCAGTGCAGGTAACAGGTGGTTGGGAGCTGCCATGTAGGTGCTAGGAAATTAACCTGGGTCCTCTGGTAACTGCTGTGCCATCTCTCCAGCCCTGCCTGATACATGGTTTTTGTGTGTTTATAGGAAGTTACATACTGTGTGGGGATATTCTTAAGGATTCATTAGAATACACAGAGTATGTTAGAGATGTTGTAGGATGGATACCACTCCATCCACCCCTTGCCTTTCTTGAAAATGGACAGTTCCCATCATAGATAACCGGTGTTTAAAATACACTTTTAGAAAAGGCGACCAGCACATGTTAAGGGGTAACTGGGAGTTAACATCACTTTCCAGACCACTCCAGTAAACATACAAAGTGAACCCTGATACACGTATATTGTGAGGACAAGCAACCTCTTCTCCCAGCATATTACTCTAATATGCTTGTCTATGTGTACACACACTACGCGCACACACACCTTCTTATATATAAATCTTGATTCTGCACTTAATCATGAACTACAATGCCTCCTAGTAATAAGCTTATGGGAAATAACGAGGAAGTGCATGAGTATGGTGGACATTGTAGGAAAAGAAAATAGCATGCTAGTATGTGTTTATGATTTTGTTTATGATCTAACAAATAAGACTTGCTTGAGAAGATCAGAGTGCAAAGCTAGCCACACTGGTCACCTGTCCAGGCCAGGCAGTAGTGGGCGGCACACCATTAATCCCAGCACAAGAGGGTTATAAGGAGGGTGGAGACAGAGTGCACGGTGTTCCGTCTGCAGTCACCCTGAGGACAGCGTTGCGCCAGCCTAGGGAGAGGCGAGAACTCTCTAGTGCTTGGCTGCTTTGCTTTTCTGATCTTCAGCTTGAACCCCAATGGGTTTTTATTATTCATGCTACAAGTTTGGCCAATAGATAATAGCAAAGAATGAAAGATGACACTTGAGAGAATACACTGAAATCAAAAAAGCACCCTTGTTTGTTCATTCATGTGGAGTTGTGAGCCACTTTTCAATGGTTCTGCTTGCTTGTCCCTCATAAGAAGGTCGCTAGGAATTGTGGGAATGAGATGATGTCTCAAGACTGTGGAAAGAATTTTTTTTCCACTCCTTGGGGAACCCTGAGATGAGAAGATACGCATTGTAGTCTGTAATTCTGACCATAATGTAGCTTGGTCTAGGCATGACCCTGGGACTAGAGAAAGCATGGATTTAAGCATAGCCTGCTGACCAAACCTTGAATGTTGAAATGGAAACTTGAAGATGTGAGGGTTGCAAAGGGCTCATAGGGATTTTTAATACAATTAATATCATGTGTATGAATGTGGACATATGTGCCAGCAGATCTGTAGAGGTCAGAGGACAAAGTCTGGGAATCGCTCCTCTTGCTCAGTCATGGGTTCCGGGGGTTAAGTACCAATTGTCAGGCTTGAGTAGCAGCCACCTTTACATGGAGCCATCTCCCTACCTGCTGTAAGAGGGCTACACCAGAGACGGAGAATGCTGCCTCCAAGCCAGTGGTTGTGGAAGGGAAAGGATTTAAGTACAGAGTCGTTATTCCTACAATATATGATTCAAATATATTGATTCAAAAGCATCACAATAAAACCGTTTAGCTTGTTTTACTTTATATTTTGTTTATTGTTGTTATATTAGATTTTTGAGGAAGGATATACCTTCATCTCTTACTATGTTACCTCCGCTCTGGTTGCTTGACCTTTTTTATAGCATTGAAGAAAGCGTGCAGTCGGTTGTGGTGGCACACGCCTTTAATCTTAGGAGACAGACACAGGCAGTTCAAGGCCAGCCTGGTTTGCAGCCTGTGTTCCAGGACAGACAGCTGTACAAACCCTGTCTTGAAAGACCAAAGTAAAAGAAAAGATGCAGTTTATGGTCAGCTCAGTAGACAGGCCCAAGGCTAGTAGAGAACTTGGATAACACTTACCCATTCTGTAAATGTCTCCATCTTGTTCTCAGTTTGCACTCAGATTACCTTTAGATGTGCAAGGACAACTCTCAAATGCATTTATGAATATTAGGTAAAAATAAAATGCAGGTTTTGTTTCATGAACAAGAAAGGTGTAATAGCATTTTTAATAAAGTATTTGTCATTTGAATATTTGTTTTCCTAAATGATACGTTGGAAATAAGCTGAGTGAAAAAACTTTGCAAGTATTATTTTGTCAGAAACAATTTCATAAAATCTATTTTAAATACAAGTTTGATGATTGAGGAAACTCTAAACATTAAAAACTTTGAAACAAAATGGCAAAACAATTTAGTATCCAATTGGTAACCAATGACATTTAAACATTTTTATTTAAAATGTTTTCACTTACCAAAGGGGGGGAAAAAAAAAAAAAACATGCTTCTGGGCAGTGGTGGTGCACACCTTTAATCCCAGCACTTAGGAGGCAGAGACAGGCAGATCTCTGTAAGTTCAAGACCATCTTGGTCTACAGAGCGCATTCCAGGACAACCAAAGCTACACCGAGAAACCCTGTCTCAAAAAACAAACAAAAATCCACATTTTTTTCATAGAGTTTCTTTTGATAAGTCTTCCCACTTCCCTACCAACCCAACTTCATGTTCTCCCCGCTTAAAAACAAAACAACAACAAAAACAACCAGTAAGGTAAAACTTCCAAAACAAAACAGAAAGGCCACAGGAACAACTACATGACCAAGCGTGGTCCCTCTTTGTGGTCCCAGCTATCCCTGGCTGGCCTGGCTGGGCATGCTGTCCTGCACTGTGGTTGATGTACCCTTGATGCTGTTGGAGAGAACTGGTTTTCCTTTTGCCAGAGGGTTTCAGTGACAAATAGCTTCTTGGTTAGAGGTGGTACCCTGTGTGGCTTGAACCTGTGCAGACCCTGTGCATGCAGCCACAGTCCCCCCTGTGAGCTCATATATGCCCAGTCCTGTTGTCTCTGGAAGAGTTTGTTTGTGTCATCCGATTCCCTTGACTCGTAAGGTCTTTCTGCTGCTTCTTGCGCATAGATCCTCGAGGGAACGGGTTTGATGAAGACGTCCCATTTAGTACTAAGAGCTGTGAGTTGCCCACTCTGCACAGCGCTTACGCGTGGGTCTCTGAATCCAGAGAAGTTTCTCTGACAAAGGTTGCATTAGGCACTGATCTATGGCTATTGGCAGAATTGTAGTAGCAGGTCTTCCCTTAGGCCCATGATCTGTCTGTCTCTGGTTCTTAGCTGCTTTACCGGTGTTGGGTGAACTCTTTCTCACCATGTGGGCTTAAATCAAATTATAAAGTACTTGGTTGCCTTTACAACATTTGTGCTCTTGTGGTCTTGGCTGAGGACCACAGATAACACCAAAAAATATGAGTGGAATATTCCTGATAGATGTGTGACTCAGAGCCCCAGTACCAGGTAAATTCTCAGAGATATGTCATTAGCATATGGATACTAGTTAATATCAGGCTAAATTCTTTATGTTGGAATTTATAGTTTTTTTTTCCAAAATAATATGCATGTTAAAAATATGAGGAAACGACATGTTTTACATTGTAAAGTATTCCCTTCAGTTTGTGAATCAGGATCAAAAATGGCACACCTTTTGGCTTTTTTGTTTGTTTTTTGGTTTTGATTTTTTTTTTTTTTTTGTTTTGATTTGTTTTTTGTTCTTTGAGACAGGGTTTCTCTGTGTAGCTTTGGAGCTTGTCCTGGAACTAGCTCTGTAGACCAGGCTGACTTCAAACTCACAGAGATCCACCTGCCTCTGCCTCCCGAGTACTGGGATTAAGGCCGCCGCCACCACCACCACCACCCTGCTGACCTTGTATTTCTTAAGTGTTCTGTGTGTGTGTGTGTGTGTGTGTGTGTGTGTGTGTGTGTGTGTGTGTATGTGTGTGTAAATCCACAAGTGCATGTATTCCAAGCATGAATAAGATCATTTATTCTAATCATATATGAAACATTAATATTACTATAATATGCACAGGACCAAAAGAACTTATATCATATCTGACATTAAAAAGAAAGAGGTAACTAACATACATGAAAAATAAGCTCATGAGCGCTCATACACAGCACCGCCACTCTGCATGTTACGAGCTGACCATGACTCTGTGGTGAGCGTGGCTCTCTGTGAGCATGACTCTAGTGACAATGATGTCGCTTGCTCTGCTCGAGACCTGAAAATATTTTTTAAAAAAGAAAAGGTTTTAAGAAGCCATGTTCATCCAACCACAGTTTCTTACAGATACCATTTTGGTGTGTGTCCCTATCTTTTTCTCTACTCTCATATTGACGTACTGTGTTTCCTAAGAATAAAGAATAGCGTGTACAGTTCATCTGTACTGTTGAGTAGCTGAAAGCACCTGCATGCTCGTCCAGTAAAGGGATTATATTAAACGTTTACATATTAAGTGTAATAAGCTTATTACAGTAATCATAATGGGTGCTTGCTGCACCCAGGGCCCATGTACAGCTGTGCGTGGCAGTTTGCAGCTGTAATTGGTGTGCTGACCTTACCTACGCCATTCTCTTACCAGCACAATAATGTTCATATATAGAGAATTTTTGTAACTTTTTTTACAGTGGATGTTTCTCTGAATCCAGGTGCCTCTGCTGTAAGCTCTCCCTCTGTGTGTGCATGTTCACATCATACATTTTAATAAATGTACTGTGTTTAACATGTGCTTTTAGAGAGAGTCAAGAATCTCATCATTAAAAAGGCCCTCTATAAAGCTGGTCTACAAAACTGTGATAGACCTCTTACATGTTTCTTGGCCTTGCTTGCATGTGTAAACTGATTTTACCAGAATTGTCTGATGCATATATAATATAAGTATATTTTTCTTTTCTTGTTCTAGATTCAGAAGAGGCTCATTCTGTAAATCCTTCTAGTGTTGATGAGAATATTGACTCAGAACCAGAGAAAGATCCTTTCATCTGTGAAAGTAAAGTTCTCCCAAGTAAAGCCCCTCTCCCATCTGCTCTGGATGAGTACGAATTCAAAGATGATGACGAAGAAGAGATAAGTCAGATGATTGACGACAGGCATATTCTTAGGAAAGAACAACGAAAAGACAGTGATCCGGAAGCAGAAAAGAGCGGTTTATTTGCAAAGCAGGAGAAAGCCTTCTATTCTAAATCATTTAAAGCTAAGAAGCAGAAGCCTTCGAGGGTTCTGTACTCCAGCACTGACAGTTCTGATGAAGACCTTCTTCAGGGCAGCAAAAGGACTTCTACTGCATGTTCTGTCCCCGAAACATCAAATTCCGATACACAAGCCAGAAGAGAATACGAGTATAAACAGAAAGGCAAAGTGAAAAGGAAATTAAAAAACCAGAATAAAAACAAAGAGAACCAGGAGCTGAAACAAGAGAAAGAGGGGAAAGAAAACACCAGAATAACAAACGTGACAGTTAATACTGCACTGGATTGTTCCGAGAAAGCCAGAGAGGAGGGCAGTTTTAGGAAATCTTTTAGCCCAAAAGATGATACCTCATTACACTTATTCCATATTTCCACTGGCAAATCTCCCAAACATTGCTGTGGATTAAGTGAGAAACAGTCCACACCACTGAAGCAAGAACATGCGAAAGCATGTATATCTCCAGGAAGCTCTGAGATGTCCCTACAACCCGATCTTGCTCGGTACGATAGTACAGAACCTGAATTCTTGCCAGAAAGTTCCAGTGTAAAGTCCTATAAGCATAGGGAAAAAAACAAACATCAGAAAGATTTCCACCTAGAATTTGGTGAGAAATCAAATGCCAAAATAAAAGATGAGGATCACAATCCGACATTTGAAAACTCCGAATGCACGCTGAAAAAGATGGATAAGGAGGGCAAGACCCTGAAAAAACACAAACTGAAACATAAAGAGAGGGAGAAAGAAAAGCCCAGAAAAGAGGCTGACGGGGACAAGGAAAAGCACAAGAATAAGGGTGATGCGGGAGGGCTGCAGAGGAGCATCGAGTTTGACAGGGAGTTTTGGAAAGAGAATTTTTTTAAAAGCGATGAAACTGAAGATCTCTTTTTAAATATGGAACACGAGTCCCTAACAGAAAAAAAATCAAAACTGGACAAAAGCATGAAAGAGGACAAATCAACTAAGGAAAAGCACGTCTCAAAAGAGAGGGGCTCTAAGGAAGAACGGGAGAAGAGTAGAAAGGAGACTGAGAGGCCCCTCAGGGAAGAGAGGCTGAGAGAGGGGAGGGACAGTGTGTCCACAGACAAGGAAGCAGAGTGTCGCTCCTCGGGCCTCAGCGGCAGCCAGGAGTCTGCCGGGCCACCCTCAGCGGAAAAGGAAATGGATATTGAAAAACAAGAAAAGCACACAAAAGAAAGGGGGAAACCTGAGAGGAGGTTTCAAACTAAGGAGAAAGAGGTTGACAAGGCCGAAAGAAAATTTTCAGAAAAAGAAAAGAAGATGAGGCATGAGCATAAGTCAGAGAAAGAGAAATGGGACTCGAGTGACTGTGTCGACAGGGCAAAAGGAAAGGACAGGCTGTGTCAGAAAGAGGCGGAGAAGATGAAAAACGCAACTAAGAAAAGTGATGACAGAGAGAGGAGCAGAGAGAGAATGGATAGAAAACATGACAGAGAAAGGCCCGAAAGAGAGAGATGTTTAGCAGAAAGCAAAGAAAAGCACTTGGAGAAAAAAAAGTCTGATAATAGTGAGTATACTAAATCAGAAAAGGCCAGAAATAAAGACAGGGAAGGAGAAAAGAAGGAAAAATTCAGAGATAAAGAAAGTATAAATATAACCAACTCCAGACATTTACAAGAAGAGAAAAGGTCAAGTATAGGAGACAGTAGCAATAAAATCCAGCACGAGAAAACTATTTCCCTTAAAGAAAAAGCAAGGGATGAACCTTTGAAAACTCCAGATGGCAAAGAGAAAGATAAAAAGGATATAGACAGATACAAAGAACGAGACAAACGTAAAGATAAAATCCAACTGAACACTCTAATCAGACTAAAATCTGAGACAGATAAGCTGAAACCTAAATCATCACCAGCATCAAAAGACACTCGCCCTAAAGAGAAACGCTTAGTCAATGACGACTTAATGCAGACAAGCTTTGAACGGATGCTCAGCCTTAAGGACCTAGAAATAGAACAGTGGCACAAAAAACATAAGGAAAAAATTAAACAAAAAGAAAAGGAACGATTAAGAAACCGTACTTGTTTAGAGCTGAAAGTAAAAGATAAAGAGAAAACAAAGCATCCACCCTCTGAATCCAAAAATAAAGAATTTACCAGGTCAAGAAGTTCAGAATTGACTGATGTTTATAACAAGGAGAAACAACCTAAAGATGTTGGAAGCAATAGATCACAGTCTGTTGACACCAAGAATGTCCTGAGTTTCGGGAAGTCATCCTTTGTTCCAGAGAACAGCTCGAACCGCTCTCCTAGGCCGGAAAGTGAGAGGCTGGGCCTGAGCTCCAGGTCTGTGTCCATGATCTCTGTTGCTAGTTCGGAAGACTCTTGCCACACAGTCACAACCCCCCGGCCTCTTGTTGAATACGACTCTGACTTTATGCTGGAGGGCTCAGAGTCTCAGTTGTCATTTTCCCAGTCACCTTTTCTGCCAAATGCCAAATCTCCAGCCCTGTATGAGAGGGAGCTGGAGAGCCTTGCTGACCTGCCGGAGCGACTTAAACCACCAGGCACAAGCAGAGTTCCCGTGTGCCATCTCAGGTCGTCTTCTGTGGAAGATGCTAAACTAATTCCTAATGAGGTGCGGCCTGCTGTAGAAATCAGGAGATGTAGCATGCCCTCAGTCATTTGTGAACCCACAAAACATTTCCAGATACCAGAAGAAAGTACCCAAGGCAGCTTAGCTGTACCCCGAGAAACCTGTCCTTCTCCCAGACCTGAAGTGTCCGACTTCCACTCCAACTTGACAGGCTCTCCAGCTAGGTCTGTAAACAGCAGGTACATCTCATCTGATACAAATGTAAGCAAGAGTGACAGCCTTGCAGGCACTTCAATGGACAGTCCGATGCACTTGGAACCTTCTAATCAGGTTGGAGTGATCCAGAACAAATCATGGGAGACGCCTGTTGATAAACTGGAGTCTTTAAACACCAATGACTTTATCTGCCCAGATCCTAATGCATCTGATCAAGATTCCTCTGCTCAGAGTTTCTGTAATTCAGAAAACAAAATGTTAAGAGAACAAAGTACTGACTGCTTATCCTCACAGCAGACGGAAATGCCAGGAAACTCGTGTGCTCAGGATCCAGCATCTTTGCTGTCCTCACCGCAGCCCTGCTCTTTTTCCAACCAGGCACATTCAGATGCTGAGTCTGCCTCTAAATCTGTGTCTTCGTCATATGGTGCCAATCAAGAGCCAGGTATTTTGCCCCAGAGAAATGCAGCTCATGTGATTAGTTCTGTTTTAGATAGCGATAATAACTTTACAAAGGGTATGGAAAGTACGTTTGTCTTAGCGGATATTCAGAAGGCGAATTCTTTTGTACCAGTTTACTCTGAAAGCACTATTCAAGACCCACTCCCAAGCTTTGAGAAGGCGAGCGCTTTGCTTGTGTTGCCGTCAGGAAAAGACTTCAGTGGAAGCGATGCTGCTTCTCAGGTCAATACACAGTATGCCTTTAGCAAACTCACTTACAAGTCTTCCAGTAGCCATGAGGTCGACAAGAGCGTAGATGATACTCAAGTTATCTCACATGGGAAAGAAAACAAACTGCAGGGTTTGGTCTTGACTCAGCTGAGTAAATGTGACTCTGATTTGTACGGAATGGATGCAGGGATGCCCAAAGGAAGCCTAAGTGAGCAGGACCCTGCAAAGCAAGGTCCTGGGAGTGAAAAGTACTTGCTTCCCGTTGAAGACGAGGAGTCAGAGCGGAGCCCTTCGTCAAGTGTGGAGAGCCACTCACAGCTGCCAGCCCAGCCAGAGATGCATAGATACGACCAGCTCACTAAAGGAGAGTTAGAAGAAAGTGCTGAGGATGATAAAACTGAAAACCAGATCCCCCAAAGACTGACTAGAAACAAAGCGAGCCCAGTGGTCAATCAGAGCAAGCAGATTCTTCCTGGCTGTACACTCTTGCCAGAAAAAGACAGTGACTGCTCCCCCAGGGGAAGGATAAGGCTCACCGAAGAAGACGACCCTCAGATTCACCATCCCCGGAAGAGGAAAGTGTGTCGGGTCCCTCAGCCTGTGCAAGTGAGCCCCTCTTTACTGCAGGCAAAGGAGAGGACTCAGCAGTCCCTTGCAGCTGTCGTAGATTCTCTGAAACTAGATGAGATCGAGCCGTACAGCTCTGAGAGAGCAAATCCATATTTTGAATATTTACACATCAGGAAGAAAATTGAAGAAAAGCGCAAGTTACTATGTAGCGTTATTCCTCAAGCTCCTCAGTATTATGATGAATATGTAACATTTAATGGATCATACCTCCTGGATGGAAACCCCTTAAGCAAGATTTGTATCCCTACAGTAAGTAAATTGACACTTGATGGACATCTGCAACACTCCTGTGGGTGTAGCTCAGTGGTAGTGTCCTTGCCTCACACACAGAAGGCCTTGGTTTCAGTCTTTAGTACTGGGGTTGGGGGGGATTGTGCATGTGCAAGCTGCATACATAATTTCAAGTTTTCTAGTAGTTAATATTTTAGAAGTAAAAAAAAACAAAACCCTGGTAGATGAATTTTACAAATGTTAAGTCAGTATATCTAATGTATTACTTCAGTATGTAATCAAAATATAGTTATTTTAAGCTATTTTACTTCTTTTTTCTACTGACTCTTTGAAGTCTGGTATACTTACTTTCATGTCTACCATGAGTGACCGCATGTCACAAAGTAGCTTCCTTATCTGGTGCCATGTGTTGCTTTTCCTTACCTGCTTCTCCTTTTGCTTCAAAGGAGACAGGATTTGATTTCTTTGAAGACGAATGCCTCTACATGGACTTGATCCCATTATTTCATCCTCTCTAGAACCTTCCTCTATTAAATACTTGTCACTAGTATTTTTTTCCAGTCTCCTTTCTCGATGGGTGTATGTTTCCCATTCAGAATATATGTGGGTTATCTCTGTCTTACAGAAAGAGGTCTCCCTTGACCTTCCCAGCTCATCAGCCTCACACCAGTCACCTTCACTTCCATGATTGTGCAGTTCTCCAGCTCCAGCTCCTCTTTATTCTCGTGCCATTGGGACATAGCCGGCTCACCACTGAGCTACTTTTGATGTGTTCGGGCTGATTTGACTTCATAGCCACCTTGTTCTTACTAAGTTCTCCGTCGTGGGCTTAGGCGCGTGTTTATTCTTCTGGTTCCCCTGCCTTATTGGCTGATTTTTCACTGATTGTGTTGATTGCCTCCCTTCTCTTCCCAGTTTCTGTATTGCCACTGTTTTGTGGTGCCTTCATTACCACCTTAGATACTCAGACACATGAATATTGCATATTCAGATACTTATTATTACATATACGAATAGTAAGTGTGTGCTAAGCATCGTGCTAGGAAGCAGACATCAGAGATGAACAGGATGGACATTCCAAGTTGCTGCCATAGTTACCATGTCTCGTCAGCCCAGCTTGATGACAGCCAGTGTTCAATGCTGTCGCACATGTTGCTAGACCTGACCCCGGTGTACACGAAGGCTGCACTGGGGTCCCCTGACGCAGGTACTGCTGGCCGCATGTCTTTCCATGCTCTGTTTGAATCTGGTACCTTTTAAATGGATGAGAACAGATCCTTTCTTTACTTAACATTATCAGAGACGTGATGCTGGTGCATTTAAAATCTTAGCAGATCAGGGTTAAATAGCAATAGTAGTAGACTAATGAGCAGTAAATTCGTTATTGAACAGTCTTTCAGAAAAATCCATTGTTAATAATTAAAAATTCATGTAATAAGTTTTGGCTTGTTGCCCAACTTTTATTTCCTCTTAAAAGGTAAAACATTTTCATCAAAATTATGTAGGCTCAGACTATAACATAAAGAAAGTGTTATGTTAAAACTTTGTAAGCTACCTAGAAATACTTAGAAGTTAAACTCTGATGTAATCCAAGTGTACTCCCTTGGAGAAGTACAGAAAGACCCTGTTAAATTAGAATTGTTTCCAATGCTGCTCTAGAAGGACAGGTGGTAGAGACTGGATGTTGTATGGATGTCTGTCTTTAATGGGAATCATCACAGCGAAGGAACACAAAGCTGTGTGGTAAAGCAAATGTCCACTTAGCATTTGCAAATGAAGTATGCGCTTTACTGCACCGCGGTGGCTTGTGTAGTTTTACCTGAGCGACCCTGCTTGTCTTCTAATGATCACCCTCCTTCCACTTCTCAAAATGCTCACACACCACCCTCCCAGATCTCCTCTAGCAGCCCGGGTCCTGGGGGGAGGGGGAGAAGGGCTGTCTTCCTCTGTGCTCCTTGAGACAATTGGGTACCTACAAGAGGTGCTAGTTTTAAAACAATAGCACCAAACTCATTTTTCTAAATGAATTTTAGTGAATTTTCAATTCACAAGACATAAAAAAATTGATATATTTTTGCAATTAGAGGCCTGAACAACTACCCCAAATAAGCTGTTGCCTTGTAGATGTCTGTGCTGTTCTGTTGAGACCTTGTATTGCCATCTTTTATGTTTGGTTCCTCAGAATTCCTGTGTCTTGTGATCAGTGTAACGGCACCATAGGGATTTGATGTCCTGCCTCCTAATGGAGGCAACAAACTGTCACATGTCATAACTTACCTTGCCCTACTGGGCCAGTTGTAGTCATAAACAAGCATATGAAAAGGAAGACACAAATATCTTAAGGAGACGAGAGAAGAGTCAGGGTCATCGATTGTTGCCAGACATGCCAGACTTGCCTGTCTACATTAATAGTAAATTGGCAACTTCCTCTGGATTTAATCAGAAAGCATAGTCCATTATAATACCGTTAGGAATGAACTGATCTCGCATACATGAAGTTCATTACATACCATTGTCTACTGTTGTGTGAGAGACTTGGCTAACACCGAGGCTTTTCTGTTCTATTCTTACCGTCGTACAAAGAGCCTTTGCTCACCAAACGGGAGTGTTGCTGTCGTCTCCTGGAACGTTTCTGTTTCGTGCCGGCTTTTCTGTTTCTGTGGCTTCTCCACCTCTTCCTGTCTGGGAGCTGTTATTAACTTTTTAGTCCTAATATTTGCTCTTTGAAATTTTTCTGTGGCCTAAGAATCAAAAATCTAAGCATAATGGAATGTCCCACTAGGTTTCAGGCAGTTGGAGCTGACTGAAGCCTCACTCGGTGGTGTAACGGTGGTTTTCATCAGACAGACTCACTGTGGCAGATGAGCTGACGGTGTTTGCCTCAGAGAGTGTGTGGTTCAGTTCAGCATTTTCCGAGTCCATTGCTCTAGGCAGAGTGTCATGTTAGTGGGGCATGTGGCAGAGACTCACCACCTCATGGCAGCCAGGAAAGAGACACCACCTCCTCCTGCCGGGTCTCTCTCTGCAGCCCCACCAACTTCCAGTGCTTTATTCAGATTTTGTTTTGAACAAACTTGGCTTTGCTTAAACTGTTGATTAGGGCAGAGCCCTCATGACCTAATTGTCTCAGGAAGCTTCTCGGGTGTGCACACCTGGGAAGAAGAGTCTCCTCCTCAGACTGGCTGTGTACAAGCCTGTGGGGCATTTCTAGATTGGTAATTGATGGAGGAGGGCCCAGCCTACTCCATGGTAGCCTCCCTAGACACATGGGTCTTGTCTGTGTAAGAGAAACAGCTAAGCAAGTCTAAGCAGCATGCCTCCATTGGTTTCTCCTTCTGGCTCCTTCCTTCCTGCCTTGGCTTCCCTCGATGGTGAACTGTATATAAGCCCAAAACACCCTTCCCTCCCTAGGTTGCATTTAGTCAGTGTTTTATCACAGCAGTAGAGAAGAAAACTAAGCACTTATTTCTATGCATTTCTACTTGACACTCGAAAGCATTCCTTATCACTCTTGTAGGAGTCTCAGTCTAATCAAGTGACAAGATTAACCATCACAGAACTGTATTGTTTAATTCATGGAACGTCAGGTTTTAAGTTACGCACTAAAAGTTTAATTATACATTAAACACTTAACAGTTTGTGTGTGCTTTCTAATTAGATTACGCCACCACCTTCGCTGTCAGATCCACTTAAAGAGCTCTTTCGGCAACAGGAAGTAGTAAGAATGAAACTACGTTTGCAACATAGTATCGAAAGGGTAAGGTACCCTCAAATATAAATGTTTACAAAAAAATAACCTTTTACAATATGTAAAAACGGCCTATGGCCTTTCATTAGTGGATATTGCCTGTTATACCATCATTGGGGAAATGCAGTGATTATGTCACCTTGTGCTCATCCAATTAAAGGAGACTTACACCTATCTTAGGATATAGTTGCTTCCTTATTGCAGTTCATGCTGGAGTATATTTTTATATCTAAAATCTCTATGATGTATCATTATTAAATAGTTTCTAATAGGACATTCAGAATTGTAAGTGTTTTAGTGCTTTCTTGGCACCCCGGCCACTTTAGGGCCTGTGTCTATTCATGCTTTTGGTATGCCTTAGTATCCCGATTCCAGTGGTGTGTTTGTTTGGTTTGGCTTTTTTTTTTTTTTTTGAGGCAGGGTTTCTGTGTAGCCCTGGCTGTCCTACAACTCACTCTGTAGACCAGGATGGTTTCCAACTCAGAGATCCCCTGGCTCCGCCTCCCAGTACTGGAACTACAGGCCTGCGCCACCATAGTTAGTCTTGACATGAGAAAAAAAGAACAGCCTGGTGCTGGACGGATGGCTCGGCAGTTGAGACAACCATTTGCTATTCTTATAGAAGACGCGGGTTCGGGCGGGCGCAAACCTCCATGATTGGCTCACACCTGTCTAAGCCATGACCGGAGGATCTGGAGCCCTCTTCGCAGGCAGCGGGCACACATGTGCTGAACATACAGAACATGCACATACATAAAATTAACCCGGATCCTAGAAGTCATGAAAGTCATTGTACATGCCTTTAATCCCAGCATGGCAGAGGCAGAGGCAGGCAGATGGATCTCTGTGGAAGGGGAAAGTTCTATGGTCTCTACAAGAATACAAGCTGTGATGTTTCACAGAAATACATATTTGTCTTTGATTTAATATACAGTGGGTTCTCCATAGCAGAGACCCTTATCCATTTTTTGTACTTTGGGCCAATCTGGAAACTTGGAACCGGTTCTCAGACTCTTGTTTTTATGTGACTAGAGTTGATGTAATCACAAAGAAGCAAGAAGGGACACTTAAGTCATTGAAGAGGAGTATGTTTATTTCTGTAAATAACACTATTGTCTCCATGGCTGGAGAGATGGCTCAGCAGATAAGAGCACTCCCTGCTCCGGCAGAGGACCTGGGTTTAGTGTTCAACGCCTACATTGCAGCTCACTGTCACCTGTGGCTACAAGTTCAAGAGACCCGGTGCCCCACCTTCTGGCCTCAGCAAGCGCAGGCACACAAGTGCAGTACGTTAGGGCAGACATCACATGCACAAAAGTAAACCCTCTAAGAGAGAGGGCAGGCGCCACAAGGGAATACATGCATCTGGGATACATGCCCAAGGCAGCAACCATAATAAATGGCATAATAGAGTACAACACATAAAGAAACTGAAACCATCATACATTATTGTTTAGGATATAGAAATGTTATCAGGCCGGGCATTGGTGGTGCACGCCTTTAGTCCCTTTAATCCTAGCGCTCGAGAGGCAGAGACAGGAGGATCTCTGTGAGTTCAAGGCCATCCTGATCTACAGAGCGAGTTCCAGGACAGGCTCCAAAACAATACAGAGAAACCCTGTCTCAAAAAACAAAAACAGTTATAAGCTACTATTCCAACAGTTTGGCTGTTCCTCAGCTGTTAACAGACTTGTGACCCAGCAGTTTCGTGCCTAGTTTGTCTCATAAAAAAATAAGACAAACAGAAGCTTAAACATGAATTCTCATAACAGCTTTTTATAGTAACCCCAAAGAATAGTAACTTTGGGGAAAGCAAAATATTATCTCAGACCTGTTACAGCATTTCTCTCTGGGCAGAGGCAGAGGCAGGCAGATGGATCTCTGTGGAAGGGGAAAGTTCTATGGACATAAGGTGTAGCAACAAAAAGCATATACATTATGATGAGGGAGTGAAGACCCAAAGAGCTGGTAAAGCCCTAATGCTTTTATGTTAGGTTAGATAAAGAAAGTTGAGAAAGCAAAGAGAAATGTGGTAATACCTTGTTTGTGGTCTAACAAAGAAAGCTGGCCTAGGATCAGAGTGCAAGCCAGCCGTAGAAGTCAGGTAGTGGGGGTCCACACCTTTAACCCCAGCATCCAGGAGGCAGAGGTGTGCAGATGTTTGAGTTCAAGGTCAGCCTGGTCTACAGCTGAGTTCCAGTACAGCCAGGACTTCGTTACACAGAGGCCCTGCCTCGAACCACTCCCCACCCCCCACCCCCCAAAAAAGAGCATTCCTTTCTTCCTGCTGTGTAGAGGACATCTTTCACTCGGCAGTTTTATTTCCTCAGAGTACCCTTGCCCTAGTTGTCTTTAAAATGACTTCAGCTCAAAATAATCATCATGCCAAGTTAGCATGTGTTGGAGTGGGGTGGGTAGTCTGTCACCCTTCAAACCCAAATGGTCAACTAATGAAGGGCATACGTGAAGTATGCGTGTGCAGCAGAGCAGGGTTTGTCAGTAGCAAAGAAGTAGATTTCTAATACACGCTTCAGTGTGGGTGGCCTCGAACCACAAAAGGAACATAGTGTGTGATTTTATTTGCAAATAATTGAATTTTCAAAACAAGTAAAGTCATAGGGTCAAAAGGTAGATTACTGAAAGCCAGGAGATACGACAGAGAAGAGTGACTGCTAATAATGAGATTTCTCTCTGTTGATGGCCATGTGTAGAAATGGAAAGTGCGTGAGAGCTTTTCTGGCGAGTATGTCTGTGCGTAGCATCCATGTCTGGTATCTGAGGGTGTTCAATCCCCTGACTGGAGTTATAGTTCCTCCAGCTAAGTACTGGGAACTAAACCCAGGTGCTCTTAACCGCTGACGTGTCTCTCCAGCCCCATCCATACACTTTAAAAACCAAATTAAGTAAGAAACTGCCAGTTTTGGAGAGGGAAGATTTTTCTAGAATACTAGGAATTTTAAAATTTCTCAAGCCTCCTGTGAACAAAATGGTACTCTGTGATTAAGATTATTTAGTGTAGCTTAAGTGACTTCGTCTAATTTCAGATATAACTATGAATATTTTTATTACTCTGTTCAACTAGGAAAAACTTATTGTATCCAATGAACAAGAAGTTCTGCGGGTTCATTACAGAGCTGCGAGAACACTGGCGAATCAAACGCTGCCGTTCAGTGCTTGCACCGTCTTACTGGACGCGGAAGTGTACAATGTGCCCTTGGACTCCCAGGTAAAGTGCGAGCTGACACTGAGTGCTTTCAAGAATTATAACGTGCCTGTTCTGAAAGGTCTGCCTTCATGGAAGACAGCTGAATTAAAGTCAGAGAAGAAATGCAAGTCTTAAAAGTATTCCTGGAGCAGCTGGCCCTCTGTATTGTGGGTTGTTAGAACACCAGGTAGCCATCAGTGCATGGGTGCCTCATCCCCGAACTCGAGAGGGCTAAGAAGATGACTTGGTGGGTAAAGTGCTTACCCTGCAAGTACGAGGTCCCAAGTTCTAATCCCAGAACCCATGTAATGCCAGACATGGTAGCACATGTCCAGACTCCTGGTGTTTCAGCAAGATAAGAGCACATACATGAGCTCACAGGGACTTTGTCTCAACTGAGTTTGAACTGCAGGGCCCATGAGGTAGTAGGGAACCAGTTCCTGCAAGTTGTCTGCTGACCTTCACACACACACACTGGCATGCCTAGGGATGCTGGCCTCTGGGCAGGAGCGTCACATTTGAGGCTAAGCCAGATTACATGCCACGTGTATGCACACCTGCATGCCGCAGTATGTATGTGAAGGTCAGGGCCAACTTGTAGGAACTGATCCTGTCCTACCACATGGGTCCTGTGGCCTGGACTGGGGTTAATAAGCTTGACAGCAAGCGACTTTGCTTATCCCAGGATTTCAAAAGCAAGTGAATTCCTCAGTAAACTCAAAATGATGTCAAAATCAGAGATGCAGCAAAACTGAGCCAGTATCTCTAATAGTTAAAGACTAGAAGACACAGACATCTTCTGGAAGGTATTCAAATAAAGAAATTGCTGCTTCTGACTCTCTCCACTTTCCTAAGATAGCTACCCAACTTTCTTTAATTTTATTATACCTTGCCCCAAATTTTACTAGTGAAGCAGACCACCAGATTTTAAGTTAAAAGTTTAAGCTTAATGAAATTCCAGGACTGAACGTATTCGCTTGACAGGGATACTCATCCATTAACAGTTTTCAGTTGTAAGCACTGAATCCAGAAAACCCGTTTACTGATGTCTTTAGGTAGGTCATCATAGCAGACTGATTACCTATCAGATGGCCTCTCTTCTAGCTCACCCTTCTCTCAATAAACTTTTAATATTAAGCAATAAAATTGAAAGTGGCCAAACTGTGTCTGAGACCATGGAGGAAATAAGTCGGTGAGAATGTGAGTTGCTGAGTGTGAAGCTGTCCGATATCCAGATGTCACCTTGACCATACTTGTAGAGTGGTACTTACATTGAGTACTTTGTGTGTGCGCAAACGTTGTGATAAGAACTTTGAACCTCTTTTAACTCTTAAAATATACTTGAGAGGGGCTGGAGAGAAGGCTCAGAGGTTAAGAGCACTGGCTGCTCTTCCAGAGGACCTGAGTTCAATTCCCAACAACCACATGGTGGCTCCCAGCCATCTGTAATGAGACCTGGTGCCCTCTTTTGCCCTGCAGACAGATATGCAGACAGCACTGTGTGCGTATGTGCATGTGTGTATGTGCGTGTGTGTACATTGTATGTATGTATGTATGTATGTATGTATATTTGAGAGGTACTTTTTAATTTGTACCATAGAAAGCTGAAAATGTATAATTAGTTCAAAGTCACCCAGAAAGGTACAGAGCTGAAATTTAAATATATCTTAATTCTAAAACTGATAGTGAAAATTTTTTACTTCGTGTGTGTACATGATGCATATTTGGGCACCTAGCATGTTTGTATGTGTGGAGGTCAAAGGACACATGAATGTGGAGGTCAGAGGACATGTGGGGGAGTGTTGGGGGCGGTGTGGATTTGGACAAACGTGAAGTTGGTTCTCATTTTCTTTTCTCCTTTGTGAGTCAGTCCTGGGGATCAAACCCATGTCATCGGTCTTGTGTAGCAAGTGCCTTTACGCGCTGAGCCGTCTCAGTCCTGATTCTGGAAGGGAGAGTACCTCTAATGGCAGGCATCTCCCACATTGCCATGTCTCCGTGTGGTAAACTTTAGCAAACGTGGCAGGCTCAGCACCCCGTGTGCCATGCCTGTCTGAGAAAGCAGGAGCACTCTGCTTCATAACTGAGCACTGTCTCCAGAATTCTGTGAGCGCCCTGTCCACTTGATATGGGAGTAACAGCTTCATTACATTTTCTGTTTACATTACTATCAATAAAACTGAAGCACACATAATAAATGGGATATTCTGGGTTTTCTTAGAAAGTGTTTTACTACATGTAACGTTCTTTTTTTAGTCTGATGACAGTAAAACTTCTGTGAGAGATCGATTTAATGCAAGACAATTCATGTCCTGGTTACAAGACGTGGATGATAAGTTTGACAAACTAAAGGTGAGTGTGTCTACATGGCAGTTGTTACTTGCTGTTCATTCTGAGGCAGGTTCTCAAGTCTCCCAGCTTTGAACTCGGGAGTTCAGCCCCTCCTGCCTCCTCCTGAGTCCCGATTACAGGCATGCACCGCCATGCTGGTTCTGCATGGTGCTAGAGATTGACTCAAGTGCTTGCCAAGCTTCCCTATAAAGCAGGTTAAGTGGATGCTTTCCTCGGGACTGGAGCCATGGCTCAGCGGTAGAGCACTTACCTGCTCTTTCAGGGGACCCAGGATCTGTTCCCAGCACATGCTTGCGTGCGCGCACACCCCAGTAGCTCACAAGATGTGTAACTCCCAGGGACCCATTGGCCTCTTCTGGCTTCTGGCTTCTGCAGGCACTAGGCAGGTATGTGGTACACACACATGCAGACAAAACACCCACACTCAGTAAATTAATTAGTTAAATTACTGTTTCCCTGTCCTTAGAAATCACCAATAGTGAGAAATAATTAGAGAAAGAAACACTGGCTAATTATTATGAATAGTCCCTGTGAAGCACAGTTGATAAATAGAAAACGAAACCTCAGACACTTTTCCAGAGTAGTGGGGTAGAAGAAGGCTCGGCGGCCAAGAGTGCTCAGTGTCTGCGGCGGGCCTTAGAACACCGCACCGGTTGACTCACTCACGGCCACCTGTAACTGCAGCTGCAGGGGAATCGGGTGCCTCTGGCCTCCGAGGGCGCCTTTACTCACCTGCACATAATTAAAAATAAATCTTTAAGAAAAGGACCACTGGGGCTGGAGAGATGACTCAAAGGTCCTGAGTTCAACTCCCAGCAACCACATGGTGGCTCACAACCACCGGTAATGAGATCTGGTGCCCTCTTCTGGTGTGCAGGCATACGTGCAGGCAGAACACTGTATACATTATAAGTTATACATTAGTCTTTAAAAAGAAAACTACGGGCTGAAGAGACAGCTCAGTGGTTAAGAGTACTGGCTGCTCTTCCAGAGGACATAGGTTCAGTTCCCAGCACCCATGTGGCAGCATATACCTGTCTGTAACTCCAGTTCCAGTAGATCTGACTCCCTTAAGCAGACATACATGCAAGCCAAATACCACCATACATAAAAATTAAATGAATAAGTAAATAAAAATTACTTTAAAGATAACTACTGTGATTTAAATTATTGAAGTGCCCCAGAAAGTTGTGTGTATCTTTCTTTGTATTCATTATCCGGGACACCTGTCTGGTTATAGCTCTACCGAAAGAAGAATAAAATGATAAAAACAAGTATATTTTGCATAGTGGTGCACACTTGTAATCCTAGCTGTTTGGGATACTGAGGTAAGAAGGTTTCTACAACTTTGAAACCAGCCTGGACTACATACCAAGACCCTGCCCTGCCCGCCAACATTGACTTGAAATTTTAAAGCATTTGTGTCTAGATTTTACAATTCTTTCAATAATTTGGAATCTTGTTTTGTTTTGCTTTGCTTTGCTTTGCTTTGCTTTGCTTTGCTTTTAGAGACAGGGTTTCTCTGTGTAGCTTTGGAGCCTGTCCTGGAACTCGCTCTGTAGAGCGGGCTGGCCTCGAACTCACAGAGATCCTCCTGCCTCTGCCTCCCGGGTGCTGAGATTAAAGGCGTGCGCCACCACTGCCCGGCAGTAATTTGGAATCTTTATGAACTGCTTCTCCCCCCTCATGCATCTGTCTTGGTCCCAACAAAGCTGGATGAGACTAGTTTGAACAGCAGATACAACAGATTAATCAAGTCTTCTCTGTTTTAAATAGACCTGTCTTTTAATGAGACAGCAACACGAAGCTGCAGCCCTGAATGCCGTCCAGAGACTAGAATGGCAGCTCAAACTCCAGGAACTCGACCCTGCCACCTACAAGTCTATCAGTATTTATGAGATCCAGGAGTTTTATGTTCCCCTTGTTGATGTTAATGATGATTTTGAATTGACTCCTATATAGCAGTTGGTATTTATGTTGGTGTCATCTTAAACTAAGGATACAAGCGTTAAACTGTGGAATACTGCCTTTTAAGAAAAACCCTGTTGACCCGCCTTTACAGTTGTTAGTGAAGTTAACTAAAGTTGGTTGTGTAGTGAACACTGTCATTTTATAAAAATAAAGAAAAATATTTTGGATCTTAGGTCCAAGTACAGTTTCTAACAGAAAGCTATTATTTATATTGATCAAAGGTAGTTGTTACATTAGAATGTGTTGGCAAACTGAGTAGAACTTTAAACACTGAGAAAATCTGCTAACAGCGCTGGGAGTTGTTAGCACTCCAAGTAACAAGATAACCAACCACAAGTACGCAGATCTCTTGTGGGTTTTATTAAAAGTATGTGAAGTAAACTCAAAGATTCAGTTCCTACCAAATAGTTTCTAATGTGGAAGAAAACCTTGGCACAAAATTCTTCAGTTCATTTTACCTGTAAATTAATTGTACAGTTTTCTTTTTTGAAAGTTTTAATATTGTCTTCCTTTTTAATAACTTATTTTATACATACTGTACATCTTGTAATTAATGGTCATTGTATACAAGGGAGCCGCCCTCAAACGTGTCCCGAGGAGACTGAGACTGTTGGTTCTGCTGGACCAAAGTGGTTGTTTTGGAGTGTGCTGCTGCTAGCAGTGTGCTCAGATAGTGAGGCTTTAAGTAGGGCATGCATGTGTTTGAGTTAGCTTGCGTCCATCCCATAACTGTCAAAATGGTGGCTTAGTTGTGTTGCATGCTTTGTATAATTTAACTCTTTCTGTAACTGACGCCTGAGACAGTGTGAGACTTCTCATCCCAGTTTCCCGCAAGAGAACCAGGGACTTCCTCTGTGGGACACACTGATAGAATCGGTCATCAGAGAACTAACTGCTAGATCTCTTCATCTCGCTTGAGAAGATGCTTCCCCCAGATCAACAGCCAATGCCTTTGGATGGAAATTGTGAAATTGTATATGTCTATTTTAATACTCTGCTATGAAAGGATCTGTGAATATGTGTAAATATGTTTAATAAATTTTATTGGTCATGTTTAATCATTGTAAACTTTCTTACATTGCTTAAAGTTAATCTTTTAAGCTTAATAATAGCCTTTGCACTTTTAAAATAAAAATTGAATGCTCAAATCAAAATAAGATACTTGGTAGTCAAAAAGTAAGTCAGGAATATTTCAGACCCTGAAATCTTCCTGAAGATTTTATCAATATGTTGTATTTTTCCTTGTATCCAGATGCAAAGTGTGTAATTTGCAAAATTTCATAATGGAAATAAGATTTGGTATGCTTTTTATAATACAATAAGGAGCAATATACTTAGAACAGTTTCTCCTATGATGTGATGTAGATTGGATGTTTAGTAAAGCTGCAGACAAAACCTGCTGCTCAACCTGTGAAACATTCAGAAAGGAAAATTAATCTAAAAACATCGTAAGTAAATAGGACAAACATTTATGAACCCTGCCACAATAATACTGGATATTTCCTATTTTGATTTTGATAAGGAAAAATTAAAAAATATGAATTAAATGGTTGAAATTCAGCTCACTAGTTGGAAATTCCAGCTAGTAAAAGATATTTGGCTTTTCAGTGCAAAGGTACATATTAAGCTTAGGGATTTTTGAATTTTTACATCAATTTATATTTTCATTCTTACTGTACTGGCATGCGCAATAAAACAGCAGCACGTGAAAAATACACAGTGCGAGGATTTAATGAAGGTGGACGTAGTGTCCTTAGAAATGTAGATGAAAGACCTTGGCCTTTTCACTGAATTAAATGGGGCCAGGAAGGCAGGGTAGACTTTGAAGCTCTGGTTTTTGTTGAAGTTACGTTTATTAAGGCTGGGAACATTGGAAGCTAATTTATAAAAGCAATACTTTTTAATACAAGAACAACTTAATGCAAAGTTTGTTTATTCTTTATCCTAAAAAGGAAACTTGATGAGCTCATGTGGCAAATTACAAAAATGAAACAGGATGATTGAACGTTCAAGAGAGCAGGAGAAAAGTAATCTGTGAAGCTTTCTTCGTTGTGATTGTTCAGCCAGGGGGAGGTTTGGGAACGTGTCCTGACCAAGGGAAAGCAGTCTTGGGGGGGGGGTGCTTCACGGAAGCAGGGAGCAGCCATGCAGCCCTCAGTCAGCCAGCCTTCCAGTCTACCCCAAGTGCTCGCTCTTTCCTGCTAGCTCAAAGGGCTGGGGCCTCTGTCATGGTTCTGTTCCTAAACACTTGCTCTGTAGCCAGCAGGGTAGCTAAGTTACTGTGCTTCACAGGAAGTGTCAGTTAGTACATAGTTTGGACTCCTGATGCCAGACCTTCTGAAGGTCTGAAATACTAGAGGGAAAAATCTCAGAATGGAGTATATGCCTAAAAAAAGATTTGGGTTCTCAAAGAAAAATAAGGATGCTGAATTTAATCAGTGATTCTTTTTAAACTATTAAACATCATGAACAAGATATTAAATTGTACCTAAGGATTTGTATTTCTTTAAGTCTTGTTCTAAATCATATCTGTTTAATAAATGACTAGTTAATATTTGTGCATGTTATTTAATAAAGAGTTATATTTTTATAGAAAAATAAGAGTGAAATGTGTGCTAAGTGTTTTTTACATAATGTTCCACTCCTGTATAATTAAGAGAAACAACAGTGTTTACTTGGGCCTCCAGCAAGATTGCAGAACTACTCATCTTGTGAAAACAATCCCATTCCAGTCAACTGATTAAAGAGAGGTCTCCTAAATGCATTGTTAGTAGGAGGCACGATGCACAATCCCCAAAGCCCATGCACCTCATTTGAGTGGCACATGGCATCCAGTGGTCCAGGAAGCCCGGTGCAGGGCGAAACCTTTCCTTTCTTTTTCAGAAGGTTAGCAATGTCTCTAACTCTACCTCTACTGCTCTCGCATGTAAGTAAACTCCCAAATCTTTACACAAAGGCTATTGACTAGTTAAGGAAAACTTTTCACTGTTTAACAGAAAAGAAACACAAGCTTTTTCTTCACCAGTCAGATGGTTCATGCCTAATAATCCCAGCATTTGGGAGACTGAGTCACTGCCAGATTCAATGGACCGTTGAGAGACTGTCTCAAAACAATAAATCAGTAATAAATGTTGCTGACACTTAAGACAGGAAGTCAAAAGAAATAATCTTAGGAGATGTGTGTGAGGTTTAATGGTTAAAATTTCTTTTTGCTTGTTTTGTTTTTGAGACGGGCTCTCAATATGTATCCTTGGCCGTCCTGGTTCTTGCTCTGTAGACCATGTTAACCTCATACTCAGAGATGCGCCTCCCTCTGCCTCCCAAGTGCCAGGGTTAAAGGTGTGTGCCACCACGCCCAGCTAGCGGTTCTTGTAATCCATTATCTTGGTGGCTTTTTGGAAGTCTTGTATGTACTTAAGAGGGAGTTTAAGACCCCACAGAGATAGTCACCAGAAGCTGTTCAATCATGAAAACTAGGGTTCATAGAGAAACTCAGCCACATAAATTAAACAATCCCATTAACTCAAACTGCCCTAACTATAGAATTTTAAGTATTAGCACAAAAGTAGCAAGTACAGCTGGAAGGTCGGCCGGGTCGCTCCCATGAGTAAATGTGCACAGTATTGACAGTAATACAGGTCTGACCCTGAGGCCAGAGGAAAGTCTGCTGATGCTGGGGTCAGTGTTCCTTCATGCAAACTAAGAAAGCACATACGCTGTGGTTTTTAAAATACATTTTTAGAAAGTGGTTACTCTATCCACATCTTCAACTAGCACCAGACAAAAAGCCTTTATGTAGCTAATGCCCCTCGGTTTTTTAGAATGACGTTGCGTACCTAGGATAGGTTCACAGACCGTCCACCCACTTTCAGATCTGTATTTGTCTGTAGTTTTTCTAAAAAGAAAAAAAAAATGGGTATGATTTAAATCTAATTTTTTAAACAACCCAGACCTAAGTAAGCAGTTTGATAGCTCCTTGTTCCAAGTACCCAAATGAACACAAAGTCTTCTTCACCCTAGAAAGACCCTCATGCCTCCCCAGAGGTAGCCATCGAGCTGCTTGCCTTCACTCTGCGTTAGTCCTACCTGGTCCCAAACTTCGTAGAAGTGAACTCATGTAGCATATACCTTGTGTCTGCCTTCCTTAAGCAGATTTTGGAATCCATGTGTGTTTCGTATATCAGTAACGTAGTAATTTTTACAAATAGTGTAACTGTACAAGTGTGTTCTCCTTGTTCTTAGTGTTTGGATTGTTTACAGTTGGGATATTGTGAATAAACCTATGGACATGGAAACCTTAACTGTGAATCTACTTTTTTTTATTTCTCTCAGGTATTAACTGTAGTCGAATTTCGTCACCACTTAGGCTAGTGCTTATCTGTGTTAGAAAGTGACAGTTCTCCAAAGCGAATGCATCACTCACACCACTGCGGCCATGTGTGAGAGCGGAGTTGCCCGCAAGCCTGTCTGAACCTTGGTGTCGCCGGGTCAAGCACCCACGAGGCCCTGGGTTACTTCTGGCGCTGGAGACCTGAGGAACGGCACAGTGGCATGGGCAGTCGGTTGGATTTAGCCAGTTAGTGGGTGGAGGAAGCCTTGTGTAGTAATACCTTCTAGCAGCTATTTGTACAAGTCATTTTGGTTTTATTGTAGTTTGTTTTGAGACAGGGTCTCTTGTGTAGCCCTGGCTGGCCTGGAACTCACAGAGATCTGCCTGCTCCTGCCTCCGAAGTGCAGGATAAAAGCTGGCCTCCGCCACGCCTGATCTCTTTTTTTTTTTTTTTGTTAAACCTTTGGGCACTTTTCTTGGTTTGTTCTACGCTGTCTTTTGATTTGTTGGTGGTCTTTTCTGTGTTATGCACAACAGCCCTTTGTCGGGTGTGTACTCTGGGCTGTACACACCCCCATATATGTAACATACACGTCACCTGCCACAGTACACGCTCTTGTGCTGGTGATTACATGGAGAGGTGCGTGCATCATTGAAAACCACTAGAAACTGGCCAACAGCTTTATATCAAATACAGAGCCTCGGTGTGTTATTTGGGGCTGGCGTGGCGGTGGGACCAGACTGGAGGAAAAACCTTACTTGTAACAGGTGCCTCCAAGCCTCCCATAATCTCCCTGTAACCTAAAGGTGGTGAAGACAACAAAGGGGGCGGGGACTAAGGGACAAGAGAGGGCCAGGGATGGAGACCGGATAAAAGGAATCCTTGCAAAGAGAGAAAAGAAATTGATTGTGTTTACATAGGGAGAGCCTGTCTCAAAACAAATAATTAGTCATACCATATTGAAGTATAATAAGGGAAAAGACCAATTACCAGGTTTACTTAAAGCACTGTTTGTAAGGCTGCTCGCCAAGCACAAGTCACTTGCTACCTGCAACAGAATGGTCTAGAGAAAGCTGAAATAACCAGCTGTTTCCTTTAACTACCTGACCACAAACGCTTACCCCTGTCAACTACCACTTACAGGATTAAAAGCAAAAAGCTGAGTGCCATATCCGCTTCTCAAAACTCTGATTTGCTTGACCGCTCTACCATGTGCTTTTAGAGAATGCAAGCGTGGCTGATAACAAAGCCTTTCCCGAGCTTCTGGTCATCAGGGACATCTCCCATCCACTCTTGCGGTCAGAGAGCTTTTCCCAGGGAGAGCTACAGCAGCACAAAGCAAATGCCAACCAAATCTCCAAAAGCTTGAAATCTTTCAGACTATAGTGAAATTAAGTTTAAAAACAAGTAAACAACAAAAAAAAATAAACAAAACTAAGCTGGGCAGTGGTGCATTCGTTTAATCCCACCAGCATTTGGGAGGCAGAGGCAGGTGAATCTCAGTGAGTTCAAGGCCAGTCTGGCCTACAAAGCGAGTTCCAGAACAACCAGAATTTTATTGTTATGCAGAGAAACCTTGTCTCTGCCTCAAACAAATAAATAAATGAATAAATAAATAAAAAGTAAAGGACCTGTGACTGATTCAATGAGTATATTTTAAAATAGTCCATGATTAAGGAAGGTTAGCAAAATCCAAATGAGCTTTTGAAAAAACTCAGTTTATAAAACCCCCACTAAGGAAAATTATGGGAAAGATTACAGATTTCTAGATTAAAATTAGAAAATCCCTACAGATATTTGGTTGGTTGGCTGGTTTTGAGGCTGGGTCTCTCTAAGTAGCCATGGCCGTCCTAGAACTTGCTAAGTAGAATTGGCTAGACTGGGACTCATTGCAATAGTTTTTAAATTTACCTTTTTAAAAGGGTGTCATAAGTAAGTGCTGAATTTACATCATCTCCAGCCCTCCCTATAATTCCTCCCTTAAATACACTTCTAAATTATTTCATTAGCATACATTATTAATTAGACAATAGATTTTACTGTGGCACTTTCATACCGTATATAATGTAGTTTGGTCGTCCTCACACACCCTTACCCCCTCCAGTCCCCATACCACCCCAGTCTATCCCCTTCCCTTTCCCAAGCAGGCCCCCTTCTTTTGTTCCTGGCCATGTTTAATTTCGATGGCATTTACAGGAGCATGGGATGCCTCTCCCTCTCCCTGTTAACTGCGTTTTCCCCAGCGAGGAGTGAAGTAGCAGCAGACTTTTCCTTTGGGGCCACCATCCAGCTCCCAAATCATGACACTGAGGTGTTGGCAGACTTTTCTCCACCCGACAATTCCCAAATAACCCGTGCAGAGGCTCGGGATTAATTACAAATCTCGGTCAACAGCTCAGGCTTGTTACCAGCTAACTCTCACATTTGAACTAACCCATATTTCTTATCTGTGCATTGTCACACGTGGCTTGGTACCCTTTCTATTGCTGCACGCTCATCTTGCCTCTCCATCTGCTGAGACTCCTCTGACCCTGCCCTTCTTCCTCCCAGCTGTCTATTTACCTCTCCCCACATCCTTATATCTATCCAGCTATTGCCAAGTCAGCTTCTTTATTAAACCAATCACAGAAGCATATTCACACTGTGTAAAGGAATGTTCCACACCGAGACTTATAGTTATGAATGCTGGGCTAGATTAGGCTCCTTGTTGCCTAGCTCTTTAAATTACTGTTTACCTTTGCCTTGGGGCTTTTTTACCTTTCTTTCCTACTCTGTCTTCTTTTCACTGCTGTTTGTGTCTGGCCCCAGGTGTGGCCCCTCAGCCCCTCAACCTCTCCTCCTCTTCCTCACTTCCCTCCTGAGCCTACATTTCTCCTATTTATTCTCTCCCTGCCAGCCCTGCCCATCCTTTCTCTTGCCCAGCTATTGGCCATTCAGCTTTTTTATTAGACCAGTCAGGTGCCTTAGACAGGCAAGGTGAAACAGATACGACACATCTTTTTGTAATTAAACACACACCCTTACATCGTTACAGGAATGCAGCGTAAGCAAAAGTAACACACCTGTACACAGTTGACGTAATATCCCACAGCATAAACAAACGTAGCACACCTTTACATAGTAAGGTATTCCACAACAACAAATAGCCACAGTCTGTATAGGACTTAGGACCGAGGAAATTTTCTGGGGTGATTTTAAAAGGTCAACAGGATGCTGCTTGGCCAGAGACTCGGGAATACTTATTTAAATCCTGTAGTTTTCTCTGGCATCGGCTATCATCAGGTTGTTGTTTTTCTGTTATTCTTTTGTTTTTAATTAGCTTAAACTGTTTTCCTGTTGTGGGCAAGCCGTGTTATCTCTTTGTGGAGGTTCACCTACCTGCACTCACTGTTAGACCTGAGGACAGTAGCTTACTCAGGTGAGACCAGTTTGTGATGAGGAACCCTGAGAACCAGTGGGTGGGTGGACTGACGGGTGGATGCTTAGCAATCAAGTTAGAGCCTGTCAGTGGTGGTGCAGGCCTTTAATCCCAGCACTTGGAAGGCAGTGGCAGGCGGATCTCTGTGAGTTCTAGACCAGCGTGGTCTACAGTGCAAGTTCCAGGATAGCAAGACTACATAATGAAACCCTGTCTCAGAAAAAAGAAAAAGGGGAAAAAAAAAAAAAAAAAATCAAGTTAGAGCCAGCCCCGGGTGACTTTTTGTTGTTGGAGGCTTGGCCACACTCTCCTACTTCTGGTTTCCTCACAGCTATTTTCTTGTAGCTGTCTCCTTGATACCCTTGTGTCCTCCGTACCATTGGGTCTAGCCTCCTCCACATCTCTGGAACCCAGCGCTCATGAACACAGCCATGCTGGGCCCTGGCTACCACTGCTGTCTTGGCCTAGCTCTCCCAGCATTCCTCACTCCCCTTACCCCCCACCCCTTGGGGAGGTCGGGCTGCATGGCCCCTGGATGCTCTCTTCCATTCTTCCCGGGTTGGGAGTTCTCTGGGGAGTCGCTGGATTGCCTCGGGAGGCCCCTCCCGACCCTTCCACTGATGCAAGCTGGCTGTGCCTGTGCTGTTGTTGGAGTCGCATCAAACACTCTCCTCTTCCTGGTTCAGATGCAGCGGGATCCGTTGTCTGCTGTTACCCTCCAGCGTGGGCTTCAAAGCCAAACAATTATGCTCCTGCTCCTGGAGATAAGTGTCAGGGATTACATTTCCGTAATGGTCCCCAAGCCAACTATCAGAGGGTTCATCCACTGCAGCTGAAAACCCCGGGGGCCCTGCAACGCCCATCACAGAGGCAAAAGACGAAATCGGCGCAGCTGTCTCCAGTGGAATCCGTCCCATAGCCTTGCCTTCATTTTCTTTCTTTTTTTCCCCTCCTCATGTAAGCCTGGCCTTGAAAGAACAGTGTGTGGGGCTGAGATGACTCTGTTTTTAAGGCCAGCTCTCTTTGCAAGCGACAGGACCCACACTCCGATCGCCAGAGACCCTCCTGGGCTGGCACAGAGGCGGTCGCCCTCACCCCAGCAAGCTGCAGAGGAAAATGAGCCATAATACAGGGGGATTCCGGGCTCGACCGACACACCCTTAAGAAACTAAGGGGAGCGGTGGGGGGTTTAGCTCAGCGCTCAAGGCCCTGGGTGGGTCCTCTGCTCCGCTCCGGGGTGTGGGGAAGGGGGGGGATGCGGACCGGGACAGGAAATAAAAAGAGACTAAGACGGAAGAGGGACTTCAGCCTCCACTTTGGACCTCAACATGCACACAGGAACATGTGCCCCCCACCCACACGTAACCATGTCTAGACACACGTTTATATGTGAAAAGATGACAAGGAAGCGACTGGCTATGAGCTAAGGAACGGGCTTTCGGCAAGTTGGCACCTGGAGATCGGAGAACTGGGCAATCTCAGCCACCTCGTTTGGGCCCCTCATGGAAAGTCCCAGAGCGCGCGTGCGTGCGTGCGAGTGTGTGTGCGTGCG